CCCGGGGACGCGGTTCCCGGACACTTCAGGCCCCTCAGCGCCGGGCCTGGGCCGCCTCCCTCCCGCTCGCGGGCCCTTTTGGGTTGGGAAGTTGGTTTTGTCCTCAGGGGTTGTCAGACATCGCCTGTAGCCAACACAGACGCTTCCACAGCCGCTCAGCCGGGCTTGGCGCTGCCGCCTTCCACACGCGGGGGAAGAAGGGGCTGGAATCCCTGCTTTTAGGGTGGAAGAATCGGCGCTTGCCCACGTCAGGGTCAGGCCAGTGTGTGACAAGGCAGGCAGAGCAAGGCAGCCTTGCTCAGAGGGCACATCAGGCTGCTTCTGCTCTTCTTCTGCAAGGCAGTGCTGGCAGGATATTAAGTTATTTTGGTATAGTTTCATCTGAGGTTTCTTGTTATTCTTTCTCCCACACTTAGGGCAAGGAGGCCACGCGTACCTGCGGGAATGGCTTTGGTGGGCAGGGCTGCTGTGCAGTAAGTACCTGCTCTGAAACTCTAGCAAGACACACTTGAGAGTGTCCTTGTTCTCAGTTTTTTACATGCTTTATTATTACGACCATTGTTGGCTTGATTTTTGTCTCAGTGTCTGAGGATGTTGTTGATCTCATTACAACGCTAAAACATTCTTAAGTCTCATGTGTTACCAGGTTTCCCTGCTAAACAGGAGCTGAGGAACTGGTCTAATTGGGTTTGCTTAAGTGCTTCTGAAATGGCCTGCCCAGATGACATAGTTAGAACAGTACATCCAGCACCATGGGTTCAGTGTTACAATTTCAGCAGCTCTGTTTTACACTTTTCAAAGTCAATGACCAGTTGTACTTGATTTACCCTTAAAAAGCTGTTCCAGAAGAACATGATTTAGAAATACAGAACAGGCCCAAACTCCTTTCAGCTTGGAGAACATGATGGAAATATTTTTCTGTGGTTACTAAGCTCAGCTGCCATGTGTGACTAAGGATCACTATACATAACCATGAGCCTTCCCTTCCCAAGTACTGGGCTCCTGCTTGCACCACATACGTCATGGGATGCTCAGGTGGAAACTGAGGCTTTCTTATGACTGCATTCAAACTTGTATTATGCCAAATTGCTCCTACTTTGATGCTCACCTGACAAGTTTCTCTTGCAGTGGGAGTTGGAGAAGCAGCAAATTTTGCTGCCTATGCCTTTGCCCCTGCAACGCTGGTAACTCCACTGGGTGCTCTAAGTGTCCTTGTTAGGTAAGCAGCCTCAGAAACACCCTTACCTCACCTGCCACCCCCGAGTGGTGACAGCAGTTGCTCTGCTTTCCTCTGTCTCTTCCCTCAGGTACTCCATCCTTTAGCCTAATTGGCTTTGGTTTTTTTTACTATCTTTCAGTGCAGTTCTGTCTTCCACCTTTCTGAATGAGCAGCTGAATGTTCATGGGAAGATTGGCTGCATCCTGAGTATCCTTGGCTCCACAGTGATGGTGATCCATGCTCCACAGGAAGAAGAGGTTTCCAGCCTGGAGTCAATGGCAGAGAAGCTGAAAGACCCAGGTACTTAAATAACATGGCTCCTGTCAACATTTTAGGCTTGGAAATGAGAGTCAAAGGTAGAAGACAACGTGGTTAGATTGGGAAGGACTGCACTAAAGGGTAATTGAGCTCTTCCTTGTTCTGCACACCAGTGGAGGAAACATTACCTGTGTCCAGGATAGCTTGTGGCTGCCTTCTGTGGTGGGAAAAGGCTGGGGTCCCCGTGCTCTAAATGTGAAAGGTTGGTGACAGTCAAACAGCATTTAATGCTTATGCTACAATAATTTACACCTACTTAACTAGCTCAAAAGAGAAGCCCCCCACCTCCACTAGTACTGGAGAGTGTGGCTGTGCCCCAACTCCTTCCAGCATGGGCAGCTCTGCCCCCTGATGGGCAGGCGTGGGGGCAGTGCTGACCAGCACTGTACAGAGCTGCTGTGTTATCTGCAACGTTGCTCAGGCTGGAGACCAGCTCTGCTTCCCAACTCCTGTCCCTACAGGTGGAGGCTAGAAGGACAGACTCAGTGGGGACAGTTACCTGCCCATCCTCCATCTCACCTTGCTGTTTAGTTACCTCTGTCACTGGTGCTGTTTTCTGATAGAGCTCTTCAATTCTTCTCTCTCCAAGGATTTATTGTATTTGCTGTGTGTGTCCTGGTGAGCTCCCTTCTGCTTATCTTTGTGGCTGGACCCCGTTATGGACAGAGCAACGTCCTGGTTTATGTTCTGGTCTGCTCTGCCATCGGCTCCCTTTCTGTGTCCTGTGTCAAAGGCTTGGGGATTGCCCTGAAAGAACTCTTCTCTGGGAAGCCAGTCCTGAAAGAACCACTGGGCTGGGTGCTCCTGGTGTGCCTGGTGATCTGCATCAGTGTCCAGATCAACTATCTGAACAAAGCCTTGGACATCTTCAACACATCGGTGGTCACACCCATTTACTACGTGCTGTTCACCACAGCAGTCATGACATGCTCTGCCATCCTCTTCAAGGAGTGGCAGCACATGGTGCTGGGCAACATCATCGGCACCATCAGTGGCTTCCTCACCATAGTGTCTGGCATCTTCCTCCTGCATGCCTTCAGGGATGTGCCCTTCACCCCCGACCTCCTGCCCCTCTTCCTGCAGCAAGGCAGGGCAGACCTGCACGCCATGTGGAGGAGCACAGACAGACATCAGTCATGTCAGCACCAGCCCCTTCTGCCCTCAGAGGACAAAGGTTGTCAGAGCCCAGAGGAGGAGAAAGGTCAAAGTGTGTGAGGAAGCCTCTGAACTACCAGTTTTTTGCTCCCACTGCTGAGCAGCTCAATGGTAAGGTTGAACATGCTGCCTCAGCTGCTGCTGCACTAGCAGGAGCTGGCACTTACTGCTTTCCTGCCCCAGGCATGAGATGGGTGACCTGCTATTGCCAAGAGGCTGACAGGGACAGCAGCTTCCTGCAGCTACAGACAGGAGCCCTGAGAACTGCCCAGTTCTGGGATCTGGTGCCTCTTCACTGTTCTTCTACATAAAGAATTCAACTGCCTATCTGAGCCTCTCTGCTGCTTAGAGGCCTGCAATACTAACACAGTGTTAACCCTTATTGAATGCATTTGGGGAGTCCTCACAGCATTTTTTTTTTTCAGTATACTTGGAAATCAGCAGTTACAAAATGATCTAACATGGTGCTAAGATTCTACTGAGAGAAGAGGGATGTCTGGCTTCAAAGATGACATACCCAGAATATTAAACATTTCCTCTGTCAAGTAGTTGTTTTGCTCACTCTGCTAGAATTTATTTACAGATTCAAATCCAAGAACAGAATACAGCCAAAACTGGAAAATTTCAGTGGTGCTGCCACATGCTACTGTGGCTCTTAGGGAGGGACTAAGCTCTTCACATGTCTGCTGTGCAGGCTGATGAAGCACCTGCTTTACTGTGTTCTATTAAAAACTGATCTCTTCAGTTACCAAGTGGCTAGTGATGTATTTGTTCTGAGAACTGGGCCAGGGCTGCAAGCCCTGAAGGATTACAGGGGTAGGAGAAACTGTGTGGATGCTTGAGAGAAACTCTGTAGGGACAGGGAAGGGAATCACAGTGGGAAGAGGAGTGACCTAAGAAATCTTAGCTATTGAGGCAAGTTTCTGAAAGATAACTAGACATCTGTGTCCTCATTTACATGGGTTTCTATCTACATAGTTCTGCTTAACACACCCTGAATTCCTTCCCAGGAAGGCTGCTGGCTACAAGCCACAGGTGTTAGGCACTCACACCCCCTGTCCAGCCAACCATGGCACATGGATCTGTGCAGAACTACTTTGCCAGGTTCCTGTGTAGAGCTCCAAGCCATGGTCCGTGGGCCTCTCCAGGCTTCCCAGAGTCATGCTGTTTGTAAACACTGCTGAACTGCCTTTTTAGAGGGTGGATTGGTGGTTTGTTGTTTTTCCAGTTAGGTCCTGTGTCCTGGGTGCAGAGGGCCAGAAGACACAGCCATAGGGTCTCCCTTAAACGTGCACGAGGTTATAAAGTAGCTGGTTATTAATTTCCTGCATTTAGTGTCTCTAACTAAACTTCTTTAGAGGACACCAGAAGCTGTTAACCCTCTGGGGAAAGAGAAGGAAAGGCCACAGCCTCTCCTAGAAACAAGTTTGACTCATGGGACCAAATTAATTGATAAATTAGAATTCAGAAGACAATTGTGCCTCCCTCGCTACTAATTTTGCAATAAACAGGAACAGGGGGAAGGAATGGGAGTGATAAGGCCAGATTTTTGATTCTTGTTAGTCATCTGCCTGAACAAAGGAGAATTTCATGTTAAAAATTGACTCAGTTAATATTTATTACATTGACCAGGGGAGAGCAGTTAATGGAGCACGTCAGTGCTGACAGAGATGTGCTGCAATCTGAAAATGTGTCACTTGGCCACAGAAATGATTTACCTATGGAAGTGTTTTCCAGCAGTGACACTGCCCGGGGTGATCACTGTGCCCAAGAAGCTCTTCTTGCTGAGGACACCTCTACCGGCCTGCACAGTGATGGCACCTGCAGGGCTTCTTAGCATCCACCCCGGAGGGTCCATCCTCTGGTGCAGCACGGTTTAAGGCAGCAGTTGCAGGCTGAACTCACCCAGAGCCCAGATTCCCATCAGCACAAGGAGCATCCCCTGCCGTGAGTGTCACCACCCCTCCATTCAGCTGAGCAGGGGTGTTCCAAACGCATCTGTGTAGCATCCGTAGCCCTGGAGTCCCAGCACAGGGAGCTGCTGGCTGCAGGGCCAGGAGCAGCACCTCGCACCCGGGAGGAACGGCTGTGCCTCTGCTGTGCACTCTCATCTGGCTGCAACTTCCCCAAGACTGGCATGTAATTAAATCCTAACCCCCAGAGCTGATGATCCTGGCTCGTTCGGGCAGCAGAGTGACCAGGAGCCGGCGCGGCCGGGGGTCCAGCCTGGCGGGGGGCTGGGCCGGGGTCCCCCCAGGGCGCGGGTCCCGCTCAGTCCGACAGGCTCTCCGAGAAGGCCGACTTGGACTTCTGCGTCTGCTCCAGCCGGTTCAGGATTAACTGGCTGGTGGCGATGAAGCGCTCCACGCAGTTCCCGGAGC